TTCCTGGATCGCAACGCTTCAAGATTCTCTAGAAGGCTGTGAGCTCAGCAGATACATGAAAACATGAAATAATTATAGGAACACCTGATAAATAATATAAATACCCCAGCGGGCCAAAAACGTGCGTCCTGGCATCGGGACGTATGGTCGCCAACGTGTTAAAGGTATTAGGGTTAGACACATTGTCGACTAAAAGGTTAAAAGGAGCTGTACAAGTAGAACCTTCGTAGTGTTTCTATGGGTCAAGTAATTCGGAACTGGGCCCAATTAGACTACGGAAACAAAGCACTTCAGATTTCTCGGACAATCGGGTAAGAACATCGATTATCCCTTTCTCGGCGCGAAGTCGTAAAGAGAAACAAAAGAGGTCCTCTGAGGGGGATCTAAGGCAAAACAAGCATACGTACATACTGCTGAAAAATTGGCAGTCAGTTCTTCTTACTGGCAAGAACAGATCAGACTTGAAGTTTGTGGATTCAGTTTGAGATTTCTAAAGGCTTTGAGGAACCCAAAGAGGAGGGAGGAGAACATGAGCTAGATGTGATGACTGCCTTCAACACCATCTAGTTTTAAGAGTTTTCTTCTTCCGAAGAATTAAGAAACTAGATCCGAGAGAATCGAGAAGTGCCTGAGAACATGTTGCCTTTGAAGGTAACTGGCAAGTTGTGGCTGTTTTCGTGAAGAGCCACCCTTTCAGGTGCGACAGCGCCTAATTCTATACTGTACTGTAAAGTAGTTAAGAAAAAAGGCATGAGATCATTTAGTTGGTATCGGAGTGAGCTGTCGACCATCCTCCTGATTGAATAAATCCCCCATAAATCCCCCGCAGGACCAGGTAACTTACCCTTTGGACTTCTTGTTGTCGTTTATCCAACCAGCTGGAGTCAGCTTCGATATGTTTATGCTCTTCATTGATGGAGACGTGATTTGGATTCCATTGAGCTTCAACACCACCTACTATGTACACGACGGCCACAATCGGCAATATTGCCGTACAAAACATCTGTAACAGCTTGATGAGAGTAGCATCGTAGCAATGGCATCAATTCATTGACATTTACGAAATTGTATAATTGGCAGCTACTTAATTGAGCTTCAGGAGCTTTCGGAAAGGTAGCAATATATAAAAATATTCATGAACTAACTTCAGAAACATGGGTTCAAAGGGTTCTGGTTGATGGGGGAGGTGGGGGGAGGGAGCAAAATTTCTTCGGAATTATTTACTATTTGATCGAGTTTTATTTTCAACCAAATTTCTGATTCAACTAAAAATTTGATGGTCTCTTGAAGCTTCGAGTTGCATTATTCCAGAATGTTTGAGTGTAATTTTGTGGCTTCAATTCGATTTTGATCACCGTCATCTACTTTACTAGTTTTCTTCATTTTTAAATCGAATGAAGGTCTTTGGATCGTATTCTTTAAGCATGAATCAGTCGTACGGACAACGTTCATCAATTCGTTTTCTCCGAACAGAAGATATCTGGGCGTCATGGCTGGCTGTTTCGCTCAGATCACCACCATCCTTGGTGATTAAGCTTTAACCGGTCGGGCGAAACGTCGAGTGACGTGATCGAATGCAAATTAGCTTCGATGAAAAATGAAACGGAGAGAAAGCAATGTGATGAAGAGGCTCGTTATGGTGGATATCTGAAGCCTGGTGGGGCTCTTACTTTCAAACCTTTTCCCAATCTAAGTCCAAAAACCAAAAGCCTTCCTAATGAGGACAATCATCCGGAAACAGAAACCCTGCTGCCGCCAGATCCTCTAAACCAATTTAGCTTTCATCAAGTAGCTGAGGTGATTGTTCTGACCATAACATTCAAATATCCTTGGTAAAGTTTTAATCCTAAAGGCATGTTCGCGATTATTTTGAGGTACCGCTTTTTATTCGTTCATCGATAGTGAAGAAAGCGAGAGGACTCGCCGTTTTTGAGAAAAATATTGCTCCTTAAAAGTAGGAAAAAAAGAGGTCGGACGAGATTATCATGATGGAAATAACCTGGAACGGCTATTCGGACGAGACTCTAGTTGTTGCAATTTCGCAAAGAGCTTTTTACATCAAGCCAGAACAGTGCAGAACTGCCTTTCACCGTCACTCTGGATCATGACAAGTTGTTTGAACTTCCTACAAGGGTTCCCTTGTAATAGGTATAGCCTCTACAATGCCGGTGAAACTCATCCGGGAATACAATTTGTTTTTTTTTTATTTTTGAGGCTATCCTTACAAGGCTGGCGCCAAATATGGTGCACAATGGGGCCTCGAATTCATCCTTATGGGGAAACCTCAGAATTCATTTTTATCGTGAACTGTGCCTTTAAAAGGACAGAATCTCATTTCTCATAAGGGAGGAAACACGTCTGAAACGGCTCCATTTTAAAAAACGAAAGCGACTGAAAAATGAAGATCTTAAGATCACTAGGACAGTGAAAGTGAAGAAGAGAAATTGGCGAGAAGTGACGGGATTGAGGTCGATGTGACCGACAGTGACATACTATGTAAAAGTGCGTAAGATGGCGAACGGGAGATATGGTCGGAAAGACGTCGATGTATGGGATATAGGACGCAGTCTCCAGTCAACCGGTCTCTCTTCCACCCTACGGCGACCACGACGGCGATGACGACGACGACGGCGAGATGGGATTAAACGAACGACATTCGGAGAGCGTAATCGAAGCCAGAACTGATAGAGTTGATTAGCCTACGACTGATTACGATCCATGTTCGGTAGCCAGACACAACGGGTTTCTCGCTGATGACAGCACGACCACTCACCTATGCCATCTGTTGGACGTCGTCGCCAACCCGTCCATGAGCCAGGGTGACTCATACTCTGGTTTCTTTTCAAAGTTTAACGACTGAGACGAAAAGCCTGTATTAGGCCAACGCCTCGAAAGCAAGGATTTCGTTAACTGCCGACCAACGATTGTCGGCTAGAACTTGCAATCAGGGACTCGATGAGGATAAAGGGGATCTACGAGATGTTAAACACAGCAGAACTCAGACTCAGCACTCAGAAGGTCATCCTTAATCGGGATTTCCAGGTGGGAAAGATACCTAGTTAAATACAATGAAACGTGAACTGCAGATTTCAAATTTTCGTTCGTTTTCATCCGTTCTTGTCATATAGCCAACAAAAAGGTTGCTCAAAAAAACTTAAGCCATAAGCATTGTCGTAATTAATCGCACTTCGGCTGTACGCTGATAGTTTGAAGAAGTTTTTCAATGGCGCTGTTCCGACTTGTATTCCGGGTAACACCATGTTCTGTTTTTTTGAGACATTTCGACGGATTTAAGGAGCTGGGAAGCTTTGCTCGGGGAAAATGTTTGCCCCACAGGGCTAGAGGCAGAGGAAACTAAGGCGTCGGCTCTGCGGCCTGAGGTGCTTGGAATGGCTCTAAGCCAGAGGATTGAAGCGTGGAAACAAACGACCCTCTAAAACTATATACCAACACAGTGTCGAAGGATGTTCTGGATATCAAGCAGAGTTGCCCAGTGAAGTCACACTATCCCTGGCGCCGTGTTTGATGTCGTTTTTTTAGAAAATCATTGGTAGCCCTTGCTTTTTTCTCCATGCCGTTGTTCCAGTCCACTAGTGAAGCGTTTTTTTTTCTCTGGATGTTGTTGAAATGCTGTTATGAACACTGCCCTGCCGATTTTTTCAGCGATCCTCTCCATGTCGTACTTCCTTGGTTTTTTCGAAAATCCACAAAGTCATTTACCAGAGCTCTAGCTAAGCAGTACCTGATTTTAGAACGGATATATACTTCGCTAGTGAACACACAGTGAACAACAAATAAAGTAGTAAAAATTCCATCCTGGTCCTCAAGCCCAGTTCTGCATTGCTACATTCTTCTCAGGGTTTTCTGGTCAACGTGAGATTGGAATGAAAAAAGAAAGCGTCAGACAGTGGATAGTTTGCAACAGCAAAGAAAATAAACTTCTCCGAATTGACTCCACAAAAACATAACTTTCACAAAGTGTAAGTGGCAGTTTTTGTACTCGAATTCCCGCCATCTCCCGTTCCTGGAAAAGAAACCGTATTCTATGGAACTTGGGGAAAATGGAAGGTAATCTGTCCGAATTCATTTCGTTTCGGGTGGTCAGTGAGCCTCAGGAGGCAATCGTACCTGTGCATATGCCCTCCACACTTACTATCAGTGTACTTATCCCTGACTTCATCTCAATTCATAATGGGTTTCCCATATTGATCGAGTCGTATCGCACCCATGCATTTCACTCCCGCTCAAGACTGTAATGGCTGTTGGATGCGTATTCGCCCTTTATGTACAATAATTAGTGAAAGCAGGCAGATTCAAAAATGCTCTTTAATCATTGCACTTTACCTCGAGGTCCCTACCTCAATTCTTGACGTTTTTCATCTCAATGGTATGGGTAATTCAGTCCCAAAGACCTCAGTTGCGTCAGTTCTCTTCATCACTTTCACTGCTCCGCTGATTTTTGGAACTCCACTTATGGCCCGTTTTCAACTTTTCAGGAAGAAGTATTCTTGGGTGTATAGTTCTCTCTCACAGGCTCTTGGATTCCCGGGTGCAAGCTTAGCAATCGCGGAGAGATTAGAGATTGGCGGGGTCGGAGCGGCTATCGATCCGTGATTTGATCTCCTCATCCCAGGGCGGTAGGCTTGGACTGTCCCAGCTTCACGTCCGAGCAAATACAAATAGATGTAATTCGTTTTCTGAACTACGAAAGAATCCCAAGTGGTCATCAGTGCGTATTGCGACATAAACCGACAGGTTTTCTGCTTTCGCTCTGTAATCAAAGCTGATAATCACCAGATGAAACGTTCCAGGGATGCACTCTGCTTTTTCTCAGCCATGATTTAGCAAATCGCCTTTTTCGTGGCATTTTCGCCGAATAGATAGCAGATGGAAGCTTTCGTTTTCAAGGAAATCCTCCTGATATAATCTTATAAATGGATGAAACTGGAATAAAACTAGCTTTTCAGCAGCATAGTGTATTATGAGGGTGAGTTCCAACGAACATACTCAAGGATTCGTTAGAAAACAAAATGCAAAGAAGTGAAGTTCGAACATGAAATATTGAATTTTCCTTCTGTTAAAGGCACCGCTCACGATAAAAAAGTTATTGAGTTCTTACCTTATTAATACTCAGCGGCCCCCATGGGTTGTAGAAGGGACCCTCTCACTCCC